ATAAACGGTAAACGTTCACACTGTGCGAAATATGCTTTTTGTACTCTTTTCATTGTGTAAATGAGCACATCTAAACCATTGCATTATGAATAAAAAGTATCATTGTATTTACCAGTATTTTTATTTTAATCCTTCTCAATATTTTTCCCCTACACTGCCCATCTTGAAAATAAAATATGAAGGGCAATTTTTGTTATCAGCACAAATTAAGTATATTTTATTAACAATTTTGTTTGCTAGTTTGAATTTTTTATGCTGTAAGGTAATAGCTTCAAATGTAACTTCTCGCAGCCATTAAGTGGCTCACCCACTCTCATTCTGTACTGTTTGCCAGCCAGTTACCAAGTTCACTAATGCTAACCAATTGCTTAGCAATTCAGACAAAAAGCGGGTACATCTTGTGCTCATTCTGAGCACCTTTTCTCCTTTAAGTCTACACCAATGTTTAAAAGCTTTACCAATGTTCAACCTCATGGCTTCTTTTTTTGGCTTGGATCTGAGAAATGTAATATCAACTCTCCGATGCCTAACTTACATTGGTATGGCGTACAGATAGTGGACCCGATCAGCCACCTCCTTACCCTGAACGTGTTGAGTTCATGTCAATGATATGGTCCCATCTGAACAAAATGGGTTTATTTCACAGCCTTCCCTGAAACAGATGTTTACTGATATATTTAATGTCACACTTCACTCTAAGATTTTCAAGCATAGCATGGTGTTGTGTTTCTTGAGGTGTTTGGCGTGGTCCCAAACACCCATGAGATCATCAGCAATCTTCTTTCATGTTGAGATTTTATCGTTCCCTTCTTCTTAGACCTTCATCACTGCAGCTACTTGCTGTAGGTCTGGTAGCCAATTCCAGCTATGAGCAGATCTGCTGTATTAACGCTGACTTTGTCCAACAACTCTGTAGTCTTGCCAGAGGCTGCAACACACCAATAGCATAAGACTCCTTCATCAAAAAATTAAAAAGTAGTCCAAGTGTTCTAAAGCTTCATTTGGTGATGTGTAGCCATGAGTAGTCATATTGTTATTCTTCTGTGGGGGAAGCTTCTGAAGATGTGCTTAAATCCTCTTAATACCAAATAGACATTTCTGTTGCTGCAGCAAATGGTTACTATTTCAGTATCTTCTACTGCATACAGGAACATAGCACTAGCCTAAAACAGATCCTCTGTGCAACAGTCAGGGCATGATCTTCTATGGGGTCCTGAATTGTTGGCTCCAGCAGTTTGTATGCATACAGCACCTACCATCTCCAGAAAACTGTAATGCTGATGCGGGTAGTATTGGGGGAAAATTCTGATTGATTGTAAAGAAAGACACGTGTGTTTGGAGCTACTTAATATTCTGGTTTTATGGACAGCATCTTCACTTTCTCATCAGCCATTTATCTAGTCCCCTGAACTCAGAAATAGTATATTGAAGGTATTTTGTTGAAACTTAGAACCACATCCATCTTTGAAAACACAGTTAAACAGTACCACTGTCTAGATAGAAAAGACAGAAAAGTTGATAAAGGTAAAAGCTACCCTAATAATGTTAATAATGAAAGGATTTGACTTTCTTTCTTTTTTTTTTTTTTTTTAACAGTGTCCTGTCTGGCAATAAGAATAATTGTCTTCATGTTAAAAAAGTGCCCAACAGATTTTACTTTCACAAGTGGAGCAGTACGGCTATCGCCATAGTGTTCTTGTCAGGGTCCTGGTCTGATTGTTCCTGTTTTCCTTAGTTATCCATTTGTTGTCCTCTGCTGCCCTCTTGTGTCCTCCCTTGCTCTGTTTCTCTGTCCTGCCAAGCACCTGTTGCCAATTTCCTCGTCAGCTCTCTCTCTGTCTCTGTCCCCTTTAAAAGCCCTCCCTGTTCAGTTCCTGTTTGCTGGATCCTCGTCAAACATCCTGTCTAACTTCTGTCTGTGTACCTCGTCTCTCCCTGGCTCCTAGTTTGGATTTACCACTGATGTCTCCTTGGTTCAGGTTCATTTGCTGTTTTCTTTTGGACTCTGATTCCTGCTCCTGGATCTGTGAACTTTAATAAAACCACTTTAATTCACCTCTGCCTACTGGTCTCTGCGTTTGGGTCCTCCATACAAACACCGATTCCTGACAGTTCTGCTTGATTTATGCATGTAAATTGCTTTATTATAATTATGCAGGGAGTTTTACAGATTATATGGACACTGCAATATAAGTGAAACAGGAAAGGAAAAACAGAAAAAAAAGCAGAAAAGATGAAACAAAGAGGAGATAAAAGGGAGATAACAATAAAAAATGTTCAGTCTGTTTCATCACCTGCAAAGAGAAGTAAAAAGAACAGCACAACCAATGGACATGGTACAAGACATACAATGAAGTAACACCTAGATACTATCGCGGAAGTATAAGTAGTATTATTTAATCTGACATGTATTCTGTGTTACCTAAACATAAGCAGTGTTGGGCACGTTACTTTGAAAAAGTAATTAGTTATAGTTACTAGTTACTTCTCCCAAAAAGTAACTGAGTTACTAACTGAGTTACTCCACAATAAAAGTAACTAGTTACTAGTAAAAGTAACTATTGCGTTACTTTTGCGTTTCTCACCCCCGTAACCCTCCCCACCCAGCCCCCACCTTCTCGCTGTGTGTTTCCAAAGCCAGCTGAATAGAGCGGACGACAAAGACAAGAACCTGCAGAGAGTTTAGCATTTATTGCAAGTCAATGTAAATGACATCAGGGGGGAACGCCATGTGAAGTTTTTTAACAGGGCGTTCAGATCTGGTGAAATTAATGACTGGGGATGTCTAATTCTGAAATCCTGTGTGTTTGGGTTGTTATAGATACTGCAACATCTATCTATCTATCTATCTATCTATCTATCTATCTATCTATCTATCTATCTAGATGTATACTCTGTGTGTGACATAAAATATGGATTTCCATCCCTGCCACAAAGGCCATCAAATAATGTTTAAAATAAAAAATACAGTAGGTTGAAAAGTCAGAGTATCCATCCATCCATCCATGCATGCATTCATCCATCCATTCATCCATCCATCCATCCATCCATCCATCCATCCATCCATCCATCCAAGCATCCAGATTTCTCCCTTTCTCCATATAGGCTATCATTTCTGACTGTTATCAGGTTAATCATTTGATCGTTCACGCTCTCCATAGTTCTCCTGTGGCGCGAGCACAGGGCGACTGTTGCGCGCCTTTAGCGAGCATGCGCGTTTCCTGTCGCTTGCGCTGTGACTCTTGTCGCCTGCGCTGTGCGGAGATGCAGAGGAAACCGTATCTGATGAGGAAACGCAGCTCGACGTAACACCGGTATTTCCATCAGGAAAAAGCTGTTTTGCTGCTGGATTCATCCTCACTCTCCATCTCTCTGTGTGTGCTGTACGTTAACACCCGCCAGCAGAAACACCCACCTACCCAACTGACAGACGGAATCTCACCATACATCAGCCATTCTCATCCTCCCCTCTCTCATGACAAGGCGCGCACCTCTGGATGACCTAAAAAATAATCTCTAATATCTGTTAAACAAAAGTAGCACAAACAATATTTTTTTCTGCACAAATCTGCACTAACGTTGCACTAACCATTCAGTCTATTTGCAGAGTTTTTTGACGTGGGTGGGGTGTCAGCTTCACGCAGCAGCGCACGAGTCCTATCATGAAAAAAGGTTCATAGTGCGACCTGAGTAACGCGCAGTAACGGGGTGTCTGCAATGGTAACTGCATTATAGTTACAGTCAAAGTAATTAGTTAGATTACTCGTTACTAAAACAAGGTAACGGCGTTAGTAACGCCGTTACTTTCAACGCCGTTAGTCCCATCACTGAACATAAGAAGGATTTAACTTTCTAACAATATGTATATGAATAGTTTTTAATGTGGGCTGATACAATAATACTAAAACACAAAGATAAAGTAAGTTATCATAGTAACTGATGTTTTACTGCTTTTGTAAAACCCAGTAGAGTTTTAATTGACCTAGCATATCCAGAAGATCCCAACTTATTTCATTATCTCGGTTTCGTTAAATAGGCCTTGGAATAAACGGTTCAGAGTAATAACTGAGTAGTTGCAAACTTTGTAACTTTGGCATACGGTATGTTATTGTGTATGTACGTATAGTTTGTTTCCTGTCTTTCTGTAATAAACTCCTGTACTAAATTCCCATTAATAATTTGATTTTTGTTATTTATCAATCTTTATTATTTCTCAAAATATAACAAAAATTTTAGAAAATTACTGATGATTTTGGATTTTAGATTATATGTCGGGAAGAGATTGGGAAGGATTTAATTAAAAAATATTGTATGTCTTTTAAGTCAAGTATCTGTAGTAACATCCTATGATTGACCATCCTATGAAACTTGACCATGACCTGGTTGACTGAGAATCTTCACAGATATTATTATTATGGTGATATTTATGGTAAGCAACAGTAAATTCAATTAGGAAAAACTCACAAGGTAAGAAAAAGACAATTAGAAGAATTTTATTGATACAAACACTTTAGTCTTTGGTGCTCAGACCTCGGCATGAAACATTAGCGCTGAGTTTTGCTTTGATATGCAAAATCAGGAGTATGAAAACAAGGATGTTTCCCCCTCCAGGCCTGAAACTGGTGGTGGTGCGGAGATAGATGAAGTAGGATAAGTCCGTAGACTGCTGGTTGGCGAGACGGTGTTCTTGAGCTTAATTGGTGAGATCCAGTTGACTGCGTGAGCTGATACTAGTGCTTCACTCGGGGACGTGGGAAGATGGAAGTCTAGCTTGGATAAACACAGGTCGCATGAACCTGTCCATGCTGAAGTGACAGTGGAGAGGAAAAAATACACCTTTGGGAAGAAACCTCTGGCAGAACCAGGCTCAACATGGCGGTCTTCTGCTGGGCCTGTTGAGATGAGACAGGAAACGCAGTAAGTGTCCGGGACAAATTACACTCCGATAGGGACGAAGTAGAAGAAGCAGCATGGAAAAGTTAGAATGGGCTTTAGCTATGATGGTGGAGAAGGGGATGGAGGTAGGTTGAATCTGAATCGAATTCAGACATAGCGCAACCACTGCAGGTGCTTTGGGTAGCAGACGGATGCTAAGAGATGGATGCTGATTGGGCTTTGTAGAGGTGTGGTTCAAAGCTGATTAGCCTGTGTCGGAGGCGTTTAAGGACATTCAGGGTAATCAGGTTCTTCTATTGAACTTAGGCTTCATATTAACCTATGTGAATTATTCTGATGTTGGTGTCACTGGAACTTACAGGAAAAGTTTTCATGGCAAAGAGCAAAGCTCACTTAAATTTTTGGATGTCGCAAACATCACAGAAGGAAAGTTTGAGTCAGTGGAATGAGAAGACATGATTTAAACTTTGCAATATGTATAGCAGCTTTTTTTACATTTATGGAAATAAAGAGAATATCATGATACAAGAATATTACAAAAAGAATCTCAATTCAACAGACTGATTGTAAAACTCATTCTTCTTCTTTTACTCGGAAAACAAAAGTTCCAGTTTTTTCCAATCTTTTTCAGACATTTTCATTATCTTTCTGAATAGGCAACTAAACATACTTTTATCAATTTGGAAATAATACCAAAAAAAAAATACATCTAAAACAACTTCCTATAAAGTTTATATGTTTACATGATTGTCTGAGAATTAAAAGATTAGTTGTTTTTTTCCTAGCAACCAACCTGTTCTGTCATATAGATAGACTTTTGCCTTTGCAGACTTGCCTTTTTCCATTGGGTGCAAAAGTCGCAAAGAGCAATTTATCTTCAAGAATATTCATTTTATTTCAGAAATAATTATTCTCAATCCTGCAACTTAACAGAAAAGTTCAATTGAATCTGATTACATTTTTTACCTCCTACCTCAGCCAGTAGGTGTTTAATTCAGGCATAAAAAATTATTTTCACTACTTTAGGGAGAACTTAGTTTAATATTTTATGAGTGAAAATAAAAGGAAGGTCACTTCTACACTGTAATTTCTTTAGAAAATGCTGCTATGGTGCGGTAGCAGCTTTTAGACATTTCTGTGTATGAGAAATGTTAAAAGCACAAAAGCTGAATAAAGGAATGGAAGATTGAAAACATAAGAACAGAAGGAAGGACACTAGAAAATAGTCACAGGGAAAGATGGAACAAAAGCGTTTATACAGATCAAACGGTAATAAAGTCTTAAAATATAGGTATATATCCCTGATTATTCAAACCCTGTACCTACAAACAGATATCATTAAAGTTCTATACTTTTCCAGAATGCATAGAACATCAAATGTTTACCTGACTTTTTACTAACCTAAAATGTAGCTGCAGCTTATTCTCAGTATGTCTTAAACACATCAAAATCCTAAGTTAGAAAGAATCTGTTCTCTTATCAGATGTCAACATAATAGATTATGTTAATCGCCCGATAAGGAACTTTATGACCCTTTTATCCCTAAGTTTAGAAGGTAGAAGGGGTTTCATACTGTTATACAGACTTGTCATACTGTTTCAGTATGACAAGTCCTGAGAGATCTGAATGCCAGCATTATGGAGAATTCATTCAATAAAAGTACAAAGATGTGGCTCCTTGAAGCCTCTAGATTAGAGACACTTCTGGACACACTTCTGTCTGCCGACAGAGGTCACTTCTCTCTTATGCTCGAGCTAAAAAAGAATCTGAAGGCTTTAGAAAATGTCTAGAAGAGACGCTTTTGACAAATATATAAATAACAAATATTTATCACAGTGACAGCTCTGACTGGCCAGGGTCTGGGTAGTCAGTTGGTGACATTTCTAGTTTAGGTTGATCTTTTTAGTATTTTCCTTTTAAATGCCTAATTTAGAAAACTGGTTTTAATAAGTCAAAGGAACGTAACCAACTGCAACCAGATTTTCAACTACAGATAGTACTTCAAATAATAGTTATATACATTTATGATCTGGTGTTAAAATGTTAGAATCCCACATTATTCATTGCAAATAGCTGACTGTTTGAGGAAAAAAAATATTTATTATGATTGAAACAAGGATTAACTTTATACCAAGTGATATACTGAAGCAGGTCAGCTAAAGTGACCCACAGTACAAAAATGTTTTGGATATTTCCCAGAATGTAAAGGTTGGTTTAGTCTGCAGCCTTCTTTAGCTTTTTGTCAAAGACTTAAGTCAATCACATCCCAGTTGAATTAAACTATAAACCAAAAGATGCTTTTACTGCATTTAAATGTGGTTCCTTTGGGATACTTTTCAAAGATAACTTATTTTTATAAGACACAACACAACAGAAAGAATGATTATTTACATCATAAATATACATATTTACCCCTGAAGACTTAAAAATCTTTTTTTTTCTTTCATGAATGTCTTGTATGGTCTGTCTTGTTTACTGCTTAATCTAAAACACTTTCACCTGTCATTCCTGGACTCCATTCATAGACTTCCAGATAAAAAAAACCAGCAGACTCAGAGACAGAGTCCCCTGAGGGTTCCGGTTATTTTGTTTCCATCATGCCTCATTCACAGCATCAAGAACTGAAAAAGAGGTGATGAAACGTCAAAGGATAGAAATACATCTGCTTTGATGTTAAACAGCTGACAGACTAAAGCCACTCGATGTCAGTGAGATCCACCTGTTGATACCAATAGCTGGAGGCGAAAAACTTGAAGAGAAATTCTTCTATACATTCAAAACCTTTTTTACAAGACTTGTGCAGTGACAACACTAAGACATTGTAATCTTATGAGCATTTTAGGTTTTACAAAAAAAAAAAAAAAAAAGCAAAAAATGAATCCAAAAGTCTCCCAATGAAATATTATGAATCCTGAACTTTTACAGCTGCCTAACATCGACGATGCTTCCCTGATTAGATCCTTGCAGGTTTCAAGCATTATAGCTCTGACTCTGCTGGCTTACTGCTTCTCTCTGTTAGTGGCATTGATTGTGTACTCAAGTTTACCAAGTTTGCCAAGTGTTAATCAGGCACTGATTAGAAGGAGTAGAAGAAAAAGAGCTTGGATTGCAATTGATTCTCCCCAGATAAGGATGGAGATTAGTCACTGAAAGGGGATTGCCTGGTGCTTTAATAATTAACATATGTTATTGCTATCCCAGAGGAAAGAATTTAAAGTTAGAGAAAGAGGCCCTGAAACCTTGACACTCGTTTGCTTAATTTATTATCTTTGCAAAGATTTCAAGACTGTTTAGAGGATTGTTTAAGAGAGAAGTTGTCTAGATGTATAGATACGGAACAATCTGATGTATAACCCCTGTCCTGCATACCTTTTATGAAGAGTTAAGGTTTTGTCGTAGCCAGAGGAAAACAAAGCTGACCGGTGTTTAGAGTCATAATAAATGCCCTTGAAAAATATTGACTTTGGGTGGAATTAGTTCAATGTTATGGGAGTTTAATCTTGGCTCCCCTATTAGAAAGATAAAGTGGTGCTATTTGCAAGAAATCGGCTCTTGTCAATGGGCATGGACGTTAAGGACAAACAAGGTTGCAGGTATTTCTTTCCCTATTTTTAACACTTTTGTTCTGTAGGATTCAAATAAAGATGGAAATAAGTATTGCTCTCATTAAATATTTCAGCATTATCCCATAAAATTCAAGTAAGGCTGTTGACATTAAATGGGGATTTAATTATGTCATGTTAAATCCGCATACCTAAGGTGCCTTTTTGTCATACACCATATATATATATATATATATATATGTATATATATATATATATATATATATATATGTATATATATATATATATATATATATGTATATATATATATATATATATATATATATATATATATATATATATATGTATATATATATATATATATATATATATATATATATATATATATATATATATATATATATATATATATATATATATATATATATCCATGCAGTTAGATTTGTGTTATTGATAAAATAAATCCAATGCAAATAAACTTACCTTGCCTTGATTTACATTTTTTTTTTGCTCTCATTAAATATTTCAGCATTATCCCATAAAATTCAAGTAAGGCTGTTGACATTAAATGGGGATTTAATTATGTCATGTTAAATCCGCATACCTAAGGTGCCTTTTTCTCATACACCATATATCTATATATATATATATCTATATATATATCTATATATATATATATATATATATATATATATATATATCTATATATATATATATATATATATATATATATATATATATATATATATATATCCACGCACTTAGATTTGTGTTATTGATAAAATAAATCCAATGCAACTAAACTTACCTCGCCTTGATTTACATTTTTGGCAGAAATCGACAAACCAATAAAAACTAAATTGAAAAATGTTCTCGTATGCCCCAGGCAATAAGGTATAGCATGCCAAATGCACAGTTTTTTCTTAGATTAAAACTGGCATTTTTCTCTTATTTCCCGTCATCAGAAGTCAGTGCCATCTAAAGTCATATAATACTGACTTTATGCTCGCTAACACTTATTTTACAATATCTCTCTAAGAAGTTGTTTTACTGTATCATCTGTCCTTCAAAGTGTTTCTAACTTATGCCTCCCTTGAGTCATTCTTGACTCATCTGTCTTTGGACTGTTTATTTTTTCCCCTGCACCCATATCATCCTTCCTTCCCTCTCTCCTCCTAATCTCGTCTCTCCTCTGTTCTTCTCCCCAATGTACATCTCTTATCCTTCCTTCTATCCCTGCCTTATAAATAATTGATAGCCCGTCTTTCCTTAGCCTTGTGTAGCTAAAGGGCGAGTGAAGTCCTGAGGACAACATCGATGCTAAGCCACAAGTGTAGTCATTTCTTGTCTATATCCAGCAGTTTTGCAGGAGTCACTCTTAACTAATGACCAGCTTAGATTTAAAGTGAGAAAGTTTATTCCTGTTTGAAAAGAGTAGGCTAGAACCTGAGAACTTCTAGCTTCATTAAGACTTCTAAAACTTACTAGTTCTTCTTTTAGATTTTACCTTTCAAGGGATAAAAAATCTAGTCATCTGTCACTATTTAACCCTATCTTCTGCC